CACCTATAATCTTGAATATAAAAGAAATAACAGTTATATGGTGGTGCCCACTGCAACATGTAAGTGCACGATCTAAAAAGAGATAATGGTTACATTCAAAGTTTTACTTGTCATGCAAAATGTCTTTACCTTTTTAAACTGAATTTCAGAATAGATTTGTGGGTGAACATGATACATTTCAGGTGTTGGCTAGGATGTCTTCAGTCAGTTGTGTGTCACTGCAAGTGATGAATATAATTGCCTGCACTTACACATTTGCAGATTTATGCATAGGCATTTGAAGATGTTTTTATGTATTTGTTTTATTTTATACATTAGTATCCTGCCCTTCACAAATTTCTTTTTATATTTTCTCTTATACTACAGTACAAATTTTCTCTTATACTACAGTATAAAAAAAACACATTCTTAAAAATCAATGATTATATGGCTAGTAAACTTTAACCAGATTCCCTAACTCGGAGTTTTTTGATGTAGACATCTTGCATGGCACTATATATCTGAATCATTTCATCATGAATCATGTCACCCATTTAATTTTTTTTGCTATAAAGATTAACATAAAAGGATTATGTGCCAACTCTATGAAAACTGGACACCAGCTCTTTAGAATTTTGGACTAGGTCCAAAAAATAACTTTCTAGTTCTTCCTCGGCCTGAACAATTTTATTCTTGTGACGATGCAGAGAAATCTTGAGACAGGGAAATATTATTGGAAAAAAAATGCCATGCTTGATCATACACAAAAGCATTATTGCCTGCTGATTTTTATGATACTTGATTTTTGAAGGTAACTGGACAAACTTCATCCTTATCATGCAAAATTAGTATTCACCTAGGACTATGTGCAATAAATTAAAAACACTTTAGTACAACTTGTTTGAAATTATACTAAAGTCTTCTTTAACCTTACAGCATGTCTTAGAAACCTACGTCTATCTTCTCAGAAGGACATCCTATTCACTTCAACATTATTAACTTCTATGAAGGTCAATAAGGCTTTTAATCACAATCTCCATGTTGCTATCTATCTGTTTTTCTGTGTTATGGGTAGTATTTATACTTTAATATCTAGTTTTTTTTAAAACTCAGTTTATGGAGCACCAAAGAACTCTTCACTGATTGTTTATCACATTATTTGTTTTCACCCAGATTTAACTGTTGCAGATCATAAATTGACTGAAGGCTTTATCAGTCTTATGTCATTTGTGACTTTTAGATATAATGATCTACAATCCTCAAAATATTTTTTTATAATATGTACAGTATTTAAAGTCCATCAATACGCAAACAACTGGAAATATTACCCACTCAGAACTTGCACTTTAACATTACTGATTCTCCATTTGTTCAACAACATCACTGTATTTATTTATTAAATTTATATGCTTTCCATCTCACTGTTATAATGACTATGGGTGTCTTACAGAATGATGAAAAGGTAAAAAGATAATATGAAGCAATTAAAATTAAGAAGATTGAATCTATGCTTCAACTCTTATTCTCTTTTATGGATAAGAATTAAATATAATCACAGGGAAATCATTGTATAATTTATACAATGTCTGTGTAATTAAAGATGGCAATTTTTTTCCTAAAACTAAATGCATAAAGGTAACTGCACATAGCTATTTAAAGGAACATGTATATAGGTAATTTGTAATATGTGTGTCCTTATTTATGTATATGTGCACATATCCCATCACAAACACAGATAATTGGGACTCAGAAACTAATTGTCTTGTCTGCTAGGAATGTTTACATGAATGCAATAGATATACATATAACTGACATCTGGCTGCAATTTTCACTTCAAATATTATTGTGCAAAAGTACTTGATTAAAGTTACTTCTGGTTGGTTTAAGTAGTACAAATGAAAGAAGATCAAAATGAATACTTTTGAGATGGGATGAATGATGACAGGGTGGCTATGAGTTTGTATATATTAGTGAAACTTCCTCAGCCTTACAGGTAGTTTTTGGCTTATGACCACAATTGAGCCCAGAATTATACTGCTAAGTGAGAAATTTGTTAAGTGAGTTTTGCCCCAGTTTATGACTTTTCTTGCCACATTTGTTAAGTGAATCACTGCAGTTGTTAAATTAGTCACACTCTTGTTAAGTGAATCTGGCTTCCCAATTGACTTTGCTTGTCAGAAAGTCGCAAAAGGTGATCACATGACCCTGGGACACTGCAACCGTCATAACTAAGAATCAATTGCCAGTCAATTTTGATCAGGTGACATGGGGATGCTGCAACCGTTGTAAGGGTGAAAAACAGTCATAAGTCACTTTTTAAAGTGTCGTTGTAACATTGAATGGCCACTAAATGAACTGTTATAAGACGAGAACTATCTACATTTGCAAAATTGGGTTAGAAAAATTGAAATTTCACTGTATCTGTTGACTCCTAGAAAAACTGGCAAAGGAAGGCTGAGAACTCTGAGCATAATGGCTAGGTGAACATACAACATTTTTCTTTTAACTATAAGTTTTATATTTATTTTTTACTGAAAGCAAAACCAGTTAAACCATCAGTTTGATAGTCAAGGAGGAAAACTGCAGGATATTTAAAAAGCTGTCAGTTTTTCTTCAGGCTGTTTTTCTACCTTTGCACTTCCCCCCCCCCAAAACAAATCAGCAGAAAACACAGGAAATGCTTTTCTTTGTATCGAAATGCATTTTCCTTTTCTTGTTCTGTAGATTGGTAGATCAACTAATAAGAATTGGTTGATCGGTTAGGTCCATACCATACCATTTTATTGTCCACATTCTTCAGTTATTACGGTAAGATGATAGCAGGAGACAAGGAAGCTAGCAAAGCTCATTGGAATTATTTTATTAGCGGTGGGATGCTCTTCTTACCCATTTCTAAGTTAAAAGCTATCATTTCAGGATATGTATGTGTGAAAAGCAATACAGGGTGATTCAGTCATGGAGGGAAGATCATTACTGCTAACATAAGAAGAAAAACTGTCACCGTGAAAAAGAGGCACAGCAGGACCCAGCTATGGGGTTGTCTTTCATCTCTACCCCTTAAATCTTAGCAATGAAAACATTTTGGCTTCTCCACATTGATTGTGATTGATGTGATTCATATCCTACCTTTTGTTCAAGAGCTCAAGACAGTAAAAAATCAGAAGGCATCTGGAAGCACTCTTTCTGCCTAACAGGTTTTGTTAAAAGGCCTAAGCTTTTGTCAACTGCTGCTGACTTCGTCAGAGGCATGGAGTGGCTGAACTGATGCCAGATTTAATTTGAGACTGTTGAACTCACATCAAAAGGTTTCAGGCTATCTCAAGAGGTCTCAACAAATACAGCCGGGGTTTTTAACACCATATAATTGCTAATTGATAAGGTACTTGTGATCTGTCTCACACGGAGTCTGTATCTGTATCACTAACTTGTCTTCTCCTCTCTTCTCCCCTCCTCACCCACTCTGCGCAAATGATGATGCAAGCAGCACCTCATAAAAGTGTGTGTGTGCCTTATAATACAATTTGTTTACCAGAAAAGGTGATTGGAGATATTATGTCAATCATAAATTAATTCAGCTCTCCTTCTACAGGGAGCACATGACAGTATACTTCCAATTTTCCTCCCAATAATCCCAAGAGGTAGTTTAGACCAGCGGTGGGATTCAAGTAATTTAACAACTGGTTCTCTGACTTAATGATTTCTTCCAACAACCAGTTTGCCAGACTGCCCAGAAAGTTAACAACCGGTTCTCCCAAAGTGGTGCGAACTGGCTGAATCCCACCACTGGATTAGACTGAAGGGGAGTGACTGACCCAAGTCACCTAGTAAGCTTCCATGCTTAGGGAGAACTTGAACTCAGATATATCTGGTCCTAGTCCTTAACTACTATACCACACCAAATATCCCTAAATATGAAGGTCCTCTGGGTTTGGTTCTCTAGACTAAAGAGCTAGTCTAAATATCAGTTAAATATCAGCTAAAATATTCTTCATAAATTGCCTTATCTTTTAAAAACATGTTTTAAACTAGAGGTCATCTCTACGTTCCTCCTCCTCCTCCTCCATCATCATTAGATTTAGAAGTTTTCTGATGATCCAATGTCTTTGGGCAGTGTACATCTTGAAGATAAAGAATAATAAAAGAAAAAAAGGACATGAACATTTGGAACCAAAAGTGTAATACAGCAAAAGGCAGTAACAAAGGCTCCTACACTGAGACCTGAATAAGAGAGAATGATAGTCATGAACTAGCAACAAATGTAATGAGCTGGGCAGAAAATGCCCCCTTGGACGAAAAATTTATCTAAGTAAGAAGTGGAACTTTCCATAGCAAGATAATGGAACAAAACAAGCTTCTAAAAATAGTTTGATTGCATTAGTTATTCCTTTACTGAATTATCTTGCTTTAACTGTCTTCAAAGATGCTGTTTAGACATAAATCTGAGTATGAAGAAAATTCTGATAAACCCATAAGTACTGTATTCCAGTAATGTCATTGTTAATCATAAGTTTTAAAAAGCTCTCTATATGTGTGTGATAGAATATTGAACCCTATTGAAAACTACTTGAAAAAGAAGAATTCTTTGGTCATGGTTGCTATTCTACACAGTGTTAAGAAAAATGAGCTGAGTCAGTTCCATCATGTTTCTTATTTTCACTTTTTAGAAAGTATAGAGTCTATGTGTGCAAATTACGGAATGGTTTTGGATGCCTGTAGACATACTTTCAGATCAAAAGAAATATTTTAATTTGTAGAAAATGTTGCATTTACATATCAAGCGGACCCAAAGGCTAAAAATTTTGGGACCTGATATCCATGACACCTGAGGGCATTCAATTGAGAAAGGGTGCATGGTTTCACAACCATAGAAATTTCCAGGTGTGTAGACTTCAAATCCCAGAATTCCATAGCCAGTATGGCTATTGATGAGAATTCCGAAAGTTGAAGACAACGAAGCAGGCATTTTCCCAAAGTCGAAAAACATTAGGTTAGAGCAGGGGTTTCAAACTCAAGGTCCATGGGCCGGCCCCGTGAGGCCTCCCGTGGCCCATTTTCAGCTGGCAGAGTGCTGCAGGAGGCTGTGGAGGCTGAAAACAGGCCATGTGGTGGCTGCCCAGGGCCTCTGTGTGGCCAGTTTTTGGCTGGCAGAGTGTTGCAGGAGGACTGAATTGGACTGGATTACAATTATGTGGCCTCAAGTAAGTGCCTGATCTGGATAGAAAATAAGCTACATCCTATGTTAATACTACAGTTTAATGCCAGATTTTACATACTATAGATCCATTTAATCTACAATCTATTCTGTATTCTATATTCTGTATTATATTCTGTATCTATAATTGACAGCCATTTCTATTTATTATCCTGCAAATTTACCTCTGCTGTTAGATCTTGTATTATCATGTTATTTATGCTATTGTATTTTTATTATCAGTTGAATAATAAAAACACAATAGTATAAATTAGAAATTTGCCTAGTAATTTGCCTAGAAAAGCAAATTACTATTAAACAATGGGGTATAAATTTAGAAATAAAAAGTTTAGTGGAATATGAAGAATACGTAGTAAATGTTTGCCAATAATATCTGGTAGAAGAGCTAGGAAAATGGTTATAATAAAGAACTGTGGAAAGAAAGAAGGGAAGGAAAAAGAATGCATCTTGAGCCTATGTCAAATGCCCACCATGGCCTGGCCCACCATTACCACATCCACCATTACCACACCCAACTCTGGCCACCACCACCCCTGGCCCTCTGAGGTCAAACACATCCCTGATGCAGCCCTCAATGAAATCAAGTTTGACACCCCTGGGTTAGAATAACCTCTCTACATAGGAAAGCTACAACATTTTGTGGCTTTTTATATTAGGAAGGAACAAAACATAGTCTTTATGCAAGTTTAGCAAAATTATGTTCAGAAATTATTCTCCTTTTCTTAGAACTGAAGATTAAAGTGAAGTTCATCTGGATGGACATGAAGGGGAGTACATTTGTATATTTTTCTAGGATTACCTGTTCTGAACAGTTGATAATCAGTTTTCTTTATTTCAGTACTATCTGGATGTCTGTTTTGCTTTTTCTCCCACAGGATTCTGGACAGTATGGATATCTGTCAGAATGAAGTCCAGCAAGTCTCTAACCTGCCGCAGATAATGCCCTGATTGAGACTGAGTGGGCTTGATGTACACTACAAGCTATATGGGGAGGGGGGAAATTTTCCCCTCTTCCTTCCACGCCTTTAGCCATGCTGATTGATAGAGATATGATACACACATCTGAAAGGTACCAGTTTGTCAAAGGCTGCTTTATAAAATAATAACAGTAATGGCAACAACAAAGTAAAGCTAAGCAAAAGCCTTCATACTCAACTTTTTGGCTTCTTAAAGAGAATTGCTTGCCTTATGCTGGAAACAAATAGACAGCTATCTGTAATTTGGGTGTAAAATGAGGGTGGACGTTCATTCTATGAGCTTGTGGGTTGATTTCCAAATGTTTTGATACCAGGCTAGGTAACATCCGTGTTGGCATTCCACAAGCAATTCCAACAACAGACACATTGACCTTAACCAGCTAAGAACCTCTCAGAATTTAAATCAACTGCACAGCCAACCAGAAATGGCATTGACCCTTAACCAACCCATGCAACCCCCCCCAACCAGGACTTCACCTCCCAATGACCCTCACCTGATGTGACCTCCCCATCACAAGACCCATCACAAGACCCTCACCTGAGGTGATCCACACCTGACCCATCACAAGATCCTCACCTGACATGACCCTCACCTGACATAACCTCCCCATCACAAGACCTACTGACCACAGTAGGTCTTGTGATGCAGTGACCACACTGTCCTTATAAGCAGAAGAACACTGACACTCCCTAAATTCCACTGAAGATGTTACCTAGCCTGGTAGGTAACATCTTCATGTTCAGAAACCAACCCACAAGCTTGGAAAATGAATCTTTACCCTCAACAAAGAGACAGGCTCATGAACTACCTGGATAGAATTCTTTTTATATGTTTTGCAGGAAACTGAATTCAGAAGACGGTTTTCCTATCCCAGAAAGTTTATAAGAAACATTCCCATGGGGTTTCTTAGTGGCTGTTTCCTCTTATCTTTTCATATACCCCTACCCCCCTTTTCCTTCCACATTGACATATCTAACATCAAAGTCTGCTCAAAGATGATGGCTCACAATAAAAGAGTTGTACAACATTAAACTGTACACACCATCGGTCAAGGAATTAGAAAAGAAAGTAAACTCTACTAAGAGAATCTTTTCAAAATAAGAACAGCTTTCACCAAAAGGCAAACCGGAAGGACGCTGACAACCTTTTCCAACTAAGCAACCTCCCAATGTGTTTGGTGTGGTAGGCCCGAGAATCATCAGCTTTAAAGCTTGTTTCCAGAGGCGTCTTTCCACTGCCGAGACTTGAATTGGAACAGAATGTAGCACTTGTTGTATTACTCCAGCATTGTGTTCTTTTCTTAACAGCAAATTTAAGAATTTGCCTCACCTGTTCCCCTGTCCTATCCAACTTCTGTGACAAAGTCTTTTTTTCTATCCTCCCCTGTTCTATCTATATTTACTGAGAGAAATCAGCATCTGGTTTGTTCACTCTGAACTTCCTGCCTAGGGTTTCAAGCTGGGTTTGACCGAGGCACATGGAGGTCAAGCCAACAAAATTGTAGGAGGCCAGAGCATGTCAGCGGATGAGGCCAGGGTTACAATAATCTCATGCGTGCATGTGGCCATTGAACTCCTATGGGGCCTGGGTCACGCCAGCTGCCTTGATAACACTTTGCATAGATTTGCATGGGGAACAAATCTAAGAAGGCTGCTTCTCATCTTTTCCACTCTGTTTTCATCAGCTCTCTGCCTTTTCTCTCTCTCCCCATCAGCTGATTACTTAATCAGTGCTTAATAACAGCAGCATAAATGCTGTACTCTCTGCCAATTTCCCTTCCTGGCTCTTGGTTTCCAAACATCTTTACCTTCTCTCATGTTTAGACATAAGGGGTTAGAAATATGCCCCTTCTGGAGTCAGCCCCCCCCCCTTTGGAATGTGTTTTTATCTCTTGTCTATTGACCCCACCCCTCCCTTCGGGTGAAGCCCCAGTGGAAAGCTCTGTTTGTTTAGTTTGGCTTTTAAGTAACTGTGTTCAAGGCCTAAGGATGCCTCAGTTAATTGTGGGTTATTTAACAGGTCCTCTTCTTTGAAGTCCAGATAATGGTGTCACATAAAGAGCCATGGACAAATTATTCATGAGGGGGGCTCAGCAAACTTCACTTGACTGAAAGGGCTGCTGACTCCACAGAAAAAGTCACTAATAATTTTTTATGGCTACTAATCAGCTTTGGGTTGCTAAACTTTGCTGTCTCCCAAGAGACTCTGTAAAGAATTAAAAGATAATAATCTGGAAGCAAGGGTAAAGATGATGTGTCTTTCTCCAAAAGAACAGCATTTTTACCTTATTTTTAACCAAAACCTCCCATATCCCTTTGCAATCTCCCCTTATCATTTATTCCTGATAGTCTTATCTGACTCTAGGACAGCAAGAGAAGGTCTCACAGAGCTCTCTTTGTCATACATTGCCATCAAATTGTCATTTTTAATTTGATTGAAAAAATTAAATACTTGAATAGTATTTAATTACTAACTGTATTTTAATGAAACTGAAATATACCTACATTAATAGAGTGTATTGCTTGGCATATAATTTGAAGTAACCTACTTTAATCTCTAGATAGGAACATGTGATGAAGCATTGCTAGATCTGGAAACGATGGTGTTCAAAGTAGTGAGCTGGAAAAATTAATCAGGGAGAGCAGAAGCTAACTTTTATGGTTTACTGAAGGAGAAGACATATATTAAGAAGACTCCCATGAGGTGATGCAAGATTTCAGAGCATTATTCATATGAGGGACACAGTGGCTCAGTGGCTAAGATGCTGAACTTGTCGATTGAAAGGTTGGCAGTTCAGCGGTTCGAATCCCTAGCGCTGCATAACGGGGTGAGCTCCCATTACTTGTCCCAGCTTCTGCCAACCTAGCAGTTTGAAAGCACATAAAAAATGCACGTAGAAAAATAGGGACCACCTTTGGTGGGAAGGTAACAGTATTCCATGCGTCTTTGGCGTTTAGTCATGCCGGCCACATGACCACGGAGACGTCTTTGGACAGCGCTGGTTCTTCGGCTTAGAAACGGAGATGAGCACTTCCCCCTAGAGTCAGGAATGACTATATGTGAGGAGAACCTTTACCTTTATGTTTATTCATATTCACTCAGAAGAAATTTAAATTGTTTTTATTGGGAGCTATGAGAGACAAGTTAGGGAGATACTGTGGCCACAGTGCAGTGATACAGCATATGTTCCTCATGGCTCAGATCTCAGAACCTAAATTTGAATAGCTGTTACTAAGTTGTATGGGCATTATAGTGTCCCCTGGACCAATGACCAGCTCAGAAAAAGGCAGTTTCTTAAATACTGCAATTCCCACAAGGCACTTTGGTCCAATTCTACATCATAAGAAACCAAATGTCGTTCAGCCTATGTAACCACATCAATGGCATCGGCATATCCCCAAATTGTTTTTTCTCATAATAAATACCCATCACAATTGCTAGTTAATTTTTCCCCTGCATTAGCTGTTTCATTGCCAAGAATAGTTTCAGGATGTAAAAGCAACTCAAGAGAAACTCAAGAGGCATGTGAGCCGGTAGAGAACATTCTCATTCTAGTCACAAGCTATGTTTCTAATAAACACCAAGTAAATAGTAAAAGTGATTAGACACAAATCTCACCCTCTCTTTTTCTCTTTTTCTTACTAATCAGCACTTGGCTGGGCAAGATTTTGTCAGATAACGCCCAGAATGGTGGTGAAACATCTGCTGTTAAAACTGCTTGTGATTATATAATATGTTCCACTTAGCTGGTTCATAAAATGGCATAAATGTTTCTAAATAGCCAAAGTGTTCTTCTCAGAAAAATACAGACATCATTTTAAACAAGATTTGAATGTACTGGATTCTAAAATCTGTTAAACTGCAACATAATTAAGCTGCAAATCATATGTCAAATGCTGGGATGCTACAGAATTTCAGTAAATGTTCTTATCCTTTAAAATTGCTATTTGAAAGCAATTATTTTTCTATGAGTGGGAATTATAAAAATGGGGGGGGAGGAAATAATCTAGTGCTCTTAATGTGACTACTGAGATGATGCATTGCTGTAAGGGTTCCAGATTCATCTGTCCTTTAGAGATACACATGATGAGTGAAGGACAACTGGTACAGGAACCCTCTTCTCTTCTTCCTGTTTTCTCCACCCAAAGCAGTGCAGGATATTATGAACTTTTCCTGCTATTCCATGTGCATCTGGCATATTTCCAAGTACTCAAGCTTTCCCTATCTCCAAGTAGTCCTGAGAAATGAAATTAGGTGGGCCACATTGTTCTTGTCATACATGCCAATAAAGCAATTTATCCTGCCTAAATATCTGGATTCTTTAAACCGAGCTCTTCATTTCACTACCTTTAACTCCAACCCTGTGAAAACCAGATTGTTTTCTATGGTATGATGGATTCCTCAAATGACATTGTCCCACTGGATTATTGTTACATCTAAGAAACAAACTGTCTCCCAGAGACAGTCCCAAAGAAATTGCAAAGTTAATAGATTGATCTAAAGAGTACAAGCACTATATACAACGACTTGTGGCTAGATAAAGACAAGAGTTCTTCTATCTAGCTGAAGTTTGTTCTCAATTCCAAAAAGAATTTATTCTCTAGGGTAAAACTGTCAACATTCATCACTGTGTTAGGATTCACTTTCTTTTTGTCCATCTGCTAATCTGACAATGTTAAACATTGAGGAGAAGTGTCCTGCCTTTTCCAAAGTAACAGCTATTTTTCTAACCCCTTACTGAGTATTGAACCAAATCAACATGGTAGTGTCACCCACAAATTTCCCCAGGAATGAAAAATAGTGGACAGCAGACCTTAACTCTGAATTAAACTGATTGTGACATCTGGGAAACTGATTCCACATAGCAGTTGGAAGAGCTTGACTCTTATCTTAGATCAAAAGCAAATACTTCCACACATTCCAAGGCTAATCAAAGCTTTTTAAAGGGGATCCTGAAGTCTGGGACTGCCAGAAGATGAGAGTGAAGGATAAAGCATGGAGCAATTGTTAAGTGCACAGCTGCTTTTCTGGAAAGCAACCAGCACATTATTATAAATAAATAGAAACACAATACATCTAACTAAATATGGAGATGCATATGTCTTGAATTAAACTCACCCCAAACTTGTGAATTTCTGATAAGCATTGAATGTTACAGCTATTTTGAGAAACTCC